TGCAAGGCAAGCGCTCTACCACTGAGCCACCTTCCCAGCCCCATTGTGCTTACATTTTCTTATGGCGACATTTCATTTTTTTTGGTCAGTCGTGGGGTTTGAACTCTGGGTCTGGGTGCTGTCCCTGAGCTCTTCAGCTCAAGGTGAGCACTCTACCACTTGAGCCACAGTGCCACTTCTGTTTTTCGGGTGGTGAATTGGAGATGAGTCTCCCAGACTTTCCTGCCTGGCTGGCTTTGAACTGCAATCCTCAGATCTCAGCCTCCTGAGTAGCTAGGATTACAGGCACGGCCAGTCATGACATTTCATTTGTATAATAAAACTAACATGATGCTAAATTTTAAAAAGAAAACACAACAAAATCTGGGGCTAGAAATAGAGACTTAGAAGGAGGCTCATCATTCATTGTCAGTTTTCAAAACTCTCAAAAGAAAGAACCAGGATAAAACACAGAACATCTTGTTCCTTTTACTTAGCACCATTTAATGTATTAAAGGAAAGCTCTAAAATTAAAAAAAAAAAAACCCTCAAAACAGGAAAACAAGTCTCTTAAGAACAGTTCACATAATACATTCACAGGATTCCAAATGAAAGGCATACAATTCCTGCCCTAGGTTTTCAACCTCCCTTGTCCAACACAAAAACAATTTAAACCACAGATTTTTGACAAGATAAATTGAAACTCTTGTTTAAATACAAAAACAGGATTTTCCTGTTGCAGTTTTTTTTTTTGGTAAGAGTCCGAGACACTCTGTAACCCAGGCTAGCTTTGCACTCACAATCCTCCCTCAGTAGTATTGTGTGTGTGCGTGCGTGTGCGTGTGCATGTGCGTGTGTATGTGTGCGTCCACATACTGGTTTTGGGATTTGAACGGAGGGCTTAGGCACTGTTGCTGATCTTTTTTGCTCAAAGCTAGTGAATGCTCTACCACTGGAACCACTGCTCGCTTCCAGTATTTATGCTAGCTAACTGGAGATAAGGGTCTCCTGGACTTTCCTGCCTGGTCTGGCTTTGAAACAAGATCCTAGATCTCAACCTCCTGAGTAGACAGAATTGCAGATATGAGTCACTGGTGCCTGGTTTAAAATGGTTTCTAATAGCCAATTCATGCTATCAATGTTGAAAAGAAGGACTGAAGTTGGACTCTGAAAAGTTAATGGGGAACTGGACAGTGTTTCACTCACTTTACTTTGATGAGTGTTGCACCTAGAATAATTTGCCCAGAAATAACTCACCACTAATTATAAAAGAAAACCATTTGTATTTATGAAAAGCTTATAACATGGGAAAATTGTTACAAAGTTAAAAGATTAAAAAATCATTGTACACTGTGTGATCTCAACCAAGTAAAACCAACCAATCAAAATATGCCCTACAATAGGCTGAAAGAAAAAGAGTACAGAATACAAACAATAGTTGTACTTAGGTAGCAAATCTGCTATGATCCTTCTCTTTTTGGCAACAGGGTTTCTCTGTGTTGTGCAAGCTGGTCTCATATTCAAGATCCTCTGGGCCCTTTCGGCCATGCCTCTCCATCCTGCACTGCGGGGGCAGCAGTTCCAGACCATTTTCCCAAACAATGGAGCAAAGAGCAGAATGTTCAAAAACAGACCAAGATATACAAAGTGGCGAACACCATCACTCTGGCTATTCATCTGACTTTGACACTACATCACAGTCTTCTGGGCAGTATTCTCCAGTCAGTCCTTTGTTTTGTTTTGTTTTTGTCAGTCGTGGGGCATATACTCTGGGCCTAGGCACTGTCCCTCAGCTCTTCAGCTCAAGGCTAGCGCTCTACCATCTGAGCCCCAGCGCCACGTCTGGCTGTTTCTGTTTATGTGGTGCTAAGGAATCGAACCCAGGGTCTTATGCATGCAAGGCAAGCACTCTACCACTGGGCCACCTTCCCAGCCCTCCAGTCAGTCCTTCACATATAGATTCTAAGGAAACAACTGCTAAAAAACAAGTATGAGATAACCAAGTGCGTTAGCAAGAAACAAAGCCCTAAGGCTGTACACCAAACAAAAAGGGCAGCCGAATGGAATTTTGCTCCCAGAGTCTCAATAGAGAGCCACTGTGGAACAATCCTCATCTTTTTACAAAACGCTTTCTCAAAGACAACCACAAATCAATGACATGCAGAATGAAGTATGCAAACTCCAGGTCAAGTCAGCTGAGCTGCTAAAAGAAAATAAGGCTGTGAAAAAGCTTCAGTACAAACAGGAGAAAGCTCTGAATAAGTTTGAAGATGAAAATGAAAGTGCTCGACTTACACTTTGCCATAAAGATGAGATTATAGTACTCAAAGAAGACAACAAAATCTCAAGAGAAAAGGCAGCCATAGAGAACAGATCCAACTGTTTAGGATGAACTAATGAACTATTTAGGACAAAATTTTCCTCACAAGAACTGAAAATGATCCCAAAAGCCAGACTCCTGCCTACATGAGATGATTTGGTGAAGAAGCAGCTAAGTTCAAAATAGATGACACCAAGAGAAGAATTAAGAAACTTTCAAAAAACTTTGAGCTGAGTTCTAACAGTTTTCAACGTCAGCTGCTTGCTGAGGACAGGAAAAGGACCTATGAGGGTCACAATAAAAACAAAGTTCTACAAAAGGAACTACAATGGCTGTACCACCAACAAAAGGAAAAGCAGCGAGAACTGCAGACTATATATATATATATATATATATATATTTTTTTTTTTTTTTTTCCTAGTCGCCGGGCCAAGTCTTCTCCAAGAAAGAAAAAGAACTTGTTCCAACAAAGAATGAGCCAGGAATCCCCAGAGCAAGAGGAACACAGGAAGCCAAGGTTCTGCCTTCACCATAGAGAAAGAAGAACCAAGGGGAGCCCACTGTGAAGCAGGAGAAGGCAAAGCTGGTGAATGAATGAGCGAGAGAAGAGGTTGACAAAAAGCAAGATGAAAAGATGCAAATAACAAGCCGGCGCTGAAAGAAGCTAATTCTGTAGAAGATGAAATTGTAAGAGGTAACACTGAGATGACTAATTTTCACTTGAATATTAAAGGATTTGAATACAGTAAAAAGTGAAACTGAAGATGCTCTGGCCTCCGCTCTCCACTGCAGGGTCTGCGGTCACCACGATGGCTCAGCAGTGATCCTCCTCCTCTACTTTTTTTTTTCTTTTCTGGGGGCCAGTCCTGGGGCTTGAACTCTGGGCCTGGGCACTGCCCCTAAACTTCTTTTTGCTCAAGGCCAGAGCTCTACTACTTAAGTCACAGTGCTGCTACTTCCAGCTTCTTCTGAGTATTTATTGGAGATAAGTCTCACAGACTTTCCTGCCTGAGCTGGCTTCAAACCGCAATTCTCAGATCTCAGCCTCCTGACTAGCTAGGATTACAGGTGTGAGCCACCAGGGCCCAGCTCTTTCTGTATTTTGGGGGAGGGGGGTGGAGGGAGGAATGTGTTGGAAATTAGGTCGCTAGGCTAACATTCTACTACTGAGCCATATTACTCATCTTTTGTTAAATTTATTTTTTGATTTAGTCTTACGCTTTTGCCAGGGCCACGTTAAATAAGGACCCTACATTTTCAGAGTAAATAGGTGCATCATCATGCCCAGCCTGGTTTTGTTTTTGTTTGCCTATCCTGGGGCTTAAACTCAGGGCCAGGGTGATGTTCTTGAGCTTTTGTGCTCAAGGCTAACACTCTACCTTTTGCGCTACCATTCTACTTCCAGCTTTTTGCTGGTTAATTGGAGATAAGAGTCTCACAGGCTTTCCTGACTCGAGTGGCTTTGAACCACGATCCTCACATTTCAGTCTCCTGAGTAGCTAGGATTACAGGTGTGAGCCACCAGTGCCAAGCTATTTTCTTTTAAACTATTATTTAAGGGCAGGGAAGGTAGCTCAGTGGTAGAGTGCTTGCCTCACATGCGTGAGGCCCTGGGTTCATTCCTCAGCACCACAAAAGCAGATAAAGCATGAAGTGGTGCTGTGGCTCCAGTGGTAGAGTGCTTGCCTTGAGCTGAAGAGCTGAGGGACAGCACCCAGGCCCAGAGTTCAAGCCTCACGACCGACAACAAAAAAAAAACTATTATTTATAAAATATCTAATATTAAATACTGAATCTGAATTACTAACTTTGAAACTAACTTGAAAGAAAAACCATGTACACTCATAAAACTGTAAAACAAGCTGGGCGCCAGTGGCTCACGCCTGTAATCCTAGTTACTCAGGAGGCTGAGATCTGGGAATCACGGTTCAAAGCCAGCCGGAGCAGAAAAAGTCTGTGAGACTCTTATTTCCAATAAACTACTCAGAAAACCAGAAGTGGCGCTGTGGCTCAAGTGGTAGAGCACTAGCCTTGAACTGAAGAGCTGAGGTACAGCGACCAGGCCCAGAGTTCAAGCCCCACGACCGACAAAAAACAAACAAACAAAACACTGTAAAACATCCTACCTTACTAAGGAGTAATTGGCCCAAGTGGAGGGGAGACCAGGTCCTGTTAATGCAAATGCTGAATCACAGTGAGTCTGAGGGAAGAGGAATGTAATTGGAAGCCAGCCTGAGGTTACACAGAGCAATCTTGTTGCATAAACAACCAACATCTAGCTTATAGTGATCTATAGTAACTTTAATATCAGAATTAAACTGGATGACTTTTTCTGCTATGTCACATTATAAAAACACTCTGATAATTACAACAGCTTAGTGTGGTTTAGAAACAATAAAACAACATTGGTACAGGAGTGCACCATGCAAAGTGTGAGATCTAGAAAATTAGAAAAAGCTTGCTAGAAAAATGATTCTCTTTAAGAAGTCTGTTTACTTTAGGGGCTGCCTTCTCTTGCTCACAGAACACTCTCCACCAAAGCACCGTGGGTTTATACATGGACACACAAGCACTGAAGGCTCCCGACCTCTGAGAACACAAAGGCCCGTCCTTGTGTCAAGGACACCAGGTCCTCCAACCACACTACACCCATTAGAAGCAGCGGGCCCAGCTCCCTTGCAACTGAGAACACACTGTAGTTCTTCCTGTGTTGCTCACACAAACACCCTTAGCTGAAATGTGCCTGCCCTGCCAGGAGGCAAGAATGTAACTCTTCCTTCTGATGAGTACTTGAAGCAAGCAGGGATTCATTGACAAGGGGTGATGTCTGCCCCTGGGTAATGCAAGCCCATGGAGTCCATTCGCTTTCTTTTTAGAAATGGAGCATATTTTACTTTACCAAGCGTAAGTAGTTGCTAAATCCTCTAGATCAAAACTCACCAGTGCCATCAAACACTGAGAACAGGATTGCTAATTGAAATTAAATCCTCCATTCTCTTCCAACTGCTGATTCTCGATGTGCTCCTGGGTCAGCCGTTCCAGATCTTTCTGCACGTTTGGGTGGTCCTCCAAATCCTCACAGAGTGACCTGGCTATGTCCAGTTGCCTGTAGTTCTCCGGCTTCACCAGGCTCCGCACTACCTGCAGGCAGCGCTCCTTCAGGGTGTACACTGCAAGCAAGGGCAGGAGACGGCCCTCAGCACAGCCCCGACCTCACCCAGGGGCAAGGACAAGCATGTGGCTCTGCCAACCACGGCAGTGACCTTCACCACAGGGAGACCACACACAGTGGGTCCCTAGCACTCATGACCCTGCGCGGTAGCTTCACTTGAGAGTGGGCTCAGCTAACAGAATGTGGAAAAGGGTAAACTGGCAACTCTGGACAAAAAAGGCAAGGCAACTTCTGCTTTTCTCTTTTGGGAGCTGTGGGTGACACTGCTAGACACCACACCAAAAGGACAGTCTCAGAGATGGCCCAGGGCAGCCCAGCCTCTGGACTACTTACCAATCAGTGCAAGAACCATTGGGCCTAACTCAGCCCACAGAGTGGAACAGCTAACAAATAAAATGCGTATTGTCAGTTTAGAGGTGGGTGTCACACTGCAACAGATAACAAGTGATAGATAAAAGCAGTGCCGCTAGACTTGGGGTAACTCCATTCCTATTTTATAATCACTGGGGAACTTACTCTTTAATGGTGTTCTATTAGGCAAAATTTACCAAATTTAACCAAACAGTGCTCGTCTTTTGGTATATTTTTTATTTTTTTTCCCCTTGTTTTAAGACTGGCTGTCGCCGGGCACTGGACTGGTGGCTCATGCCTGTAATCCTAGCTACTCAGAAGGCAGAGCGATCTGAGGATTGCGGTTCAAAGCCAGCCTGGGCAGGAAAGTCCGTGAAACTCTTCTCCAATAAACCACCAGAAAACAGGAAGTGGTGCTGTAGCTCAAGTGGTAGAGCGCTAGTCTTGAGCTGAAGAGCTGAGAGACAGTGCTCAGGCCCAGAGTTCAAGCCCCACAACCAACAACAACAAAAAAAGGACTGGCTGTCATTTTAATAGCCCAAATTGGCCTGGGACTCTAGATCTCCTGCTTCAGGTTTCTGAGTGTTACAATTCTAGGAATGTGCCACCACACTTAACTAATCCACTTCTTCAAAAGAGAATCTAAGCCGGGCACCAGGCAGCTCACACCTGTAATACTAGTGACTCAGAAGGCTGAGATCTGAGGATTCTGGTTTGAAGCCAGCCTAGGCAGAAAAGTTCCCATGAGACTCATCTCCAATTAATCACTCAAAAGTGCTATCCTTGAGCAAGAGTTCAGGGACAGTGCCCAGTACCCAACTGATAAAAGAAAAAAAATCTATGTAGCTATCTATGTAGCTATGTATAGATGTCTATTTGTTTGATCACTACAAAGATCCGTATTTGTTTCTGGCTTCTAAGACAAGATGCAGCCTAGACATCATACTACCCTCCGTTGCTTCTTGCCTTTCTGGGATTATGAACTCATGCCAGTACAATCTTCTGGGCTTCCTTCCTTTCCTTTTTGTGTCAGTCCTGGGGCTTAAATTTAGGAATTGGGTGCTGACTCTGAGCACCCTACCACTAGAGCATGGAGCCACCACTCCAATTCTAGTTTTCTGGTGGTTAATTGGAGATAAGTGTCTCATGGACTGCCCAGGATGGCTTCAAACTGTCAGATCTCAGCCTCCTGTATATTAAGGTATAGGTGTGAGCCACCAGCTGGCTTTCATATCAGTTTCTTAAAGTTCAACTCAAAAAATCATTAAGCTTTACAGACAGTGAACTGATACTAATCTTCAATTTGATGATTTTTTTTTGGTTGTGAGACTTGAACTCAGGGCCTAGGCACTGTCCCTGAGCTTTTTTGCTCAAAGCTAGTGCTCTATTACTTTGAGCTACAGCTCCACTTCCAGAATTTAGGTAATTAACTGGAGATAAAGAGTCTCAACCTTTCCAAGCCAGCCTGGCTTTGAACTGCAGATCTCAGCCTTCTGAGTAGCTAGGATTACAGGCATGAGCCACCAGTGGCCCACTTCGATTTCATTTTTTAACCTTTGATGGACACTATGAGCTTAGTTAGATTAAAGCTATATCCTCACAAGTTAACAACAAATTAGCTATGATATGCTTTATTCTTCTGAGACTCCAAGACATTAAGTCTGTTCTAAGCCTGCGAACCAAAAAGCATTTATAATTCTACAAGTAGAGACTCTGCTACCACTATCCCCACCCCCCTCTCCAACTTTTTTTTTTTTTTTTTTTGCCAGTATCAGGACTTGCTCCATGCTGGAGCATCAATTTTGAGCCACGCCTCCAAGCTTGAGTTTTTGTGGTTAATTGCAGATGACTTTTCTGCCTGGGCTGGTTTTGAACCACAATCTTCCAGCCATCTGAGTAGTTAAGAGAAATAAGCTGCTGGCGCCTGGCTTAGTGTATCTCTTAAGAGCCCCCAGTGGAAGATACATTATCAAAGGCTGACACTAGCCAATTTTTTTGTTGGTCATGGGGCCTGAACACTGGGCCTGGGCACTGTCCCTCAGCCCTTCAGCTCAAGGCTAACGCTCTACCACTTGAGCCACAGCGCCACTTCTGGCTTTTTCTGCTATGTAGTGCTGAGGAATCAAACCCAGGACCTCATGCATGCAAGGCAAGCACTCTACCACTGAACCACCTTCCCAGCCCCACTAGCCAAAATTTTGCCTCTAGTAAAAATTAATTAGGACTGGACTGACTCTTTCTAGTAATCTATGCTCTACTTATTACAATCACCTTATCTTTTTGAAAATAAGATCGAATATCAGTACCTGGCAGTGTGATGTTGGCAAAAATTGGCTGCCCATCAACGTTGAGAGATGGCACAAACAATTCAGTCTGGTTAACCAGAAGCCCATCATATGTCCCTGCATCTCTGAAGAGCCATAGGTGACCTGTTAACATAAGCAGATGCCATCAGAAAGCACACTAGTCTGCGTCATCATCAGGGCTGATACACTGGCATCTCCACCATAGTATCCCCAACCCTTCCAGTGGATGTTAACCGTAAGCCTTAGAAAATGGGTGTGAAGGGACTGGGAAGATGGCTCAGTGGTAGAGCGCTTGCCTTGCATGCCTCTAAGGCCCTGGGTTCAATTCCTCAGCACCACATAAGCAAAAAGAGAAAAAAGCCGGAAGTGGTGCTGTGGCTCAAGTGGTAGAGCGCTGCTAGCCTTGAGCTGAAGAGCGCCCAGGCCCAGAGTTCAGGCCCCACGACCGGACCCCCCCCCCAAAAAAAAAGAAAGCAGACTTGGGTATATATGTACCTGGTGTTAAAGTCTGCAACCACAGTGGAAAAGCAAGGGCTACAGAAAGGGACTGCACATCACAGCAAATGAAGAGGCCATTGGTCCTCAATCTGTGCTGGCTCACAGCTGAACTCTACCACTTGAGCCATGACTCAAATTGAAGATGAGCCTTTGCTCAGGCTGGTTTTGTACCACAATCTTCTGATCTCAGCCTCCTCAGTAGTTTAGATTACAGGTGTAATTCAGTAGCCCCTGGCAATTTTAAGGTGTGTATGTATGTGTGTATGTGTGTGTGTCTTGGTACTGGGGCTTAACTCATAACCTAGCCTTTGCATTTTTGCTCGACTAGTGCTCTACTACTTCAGCCACAGCTCTACCCAGGGTGTTTTCTGCTCAGGCTGGCTTCAAATCCCAGATCTCAGCCTCCTGAGTAGCTAGGATTACAGGCATGAACCACAGGCTCCAGCTCAATTTTAACTATTTTTAAGTGTATAATCCAGGAATTGGGAATGTGGCGTAGTGGTAGAGTGGCATGCATGAAGTCCTGGGTTCAATTCCTCAGCACCACACAAACAGAAAAGGCTGGAAGTGGTGCTGTGGCTCAAGTGGTAGAGTAATAGCCTTGAGCAAAAGCAGCTCAGGGACAGTGCCCAGGCCCTGAGTTCAAGCCTCAGGACTGGCAAAAAAAAAAAAAAAAAGAGGTTGGGTGCTGGTGACTCCTGACTGTAATCCTAGCTACTTAGGAGATTGAGATCTGAAGATCGTGGTTGAAAACGAGCCCCAGCAGGAAACCTACATGAGATTCCTACTTCCAATAAACTATCCCTCCCCTCAAAAAAAAATAAGTCAAAAATGGAGCTGTGGCTCAAGTGGCAGAGCGCCAGCCTTGAGTGAGAACGCTCAGGGCAGCACCCGGGCTGAGTTCAAGCACCGGGACCAACACGAAAATAGAAAAAAAAATTTTTTTTTACATTAAGATTGAGAATCATCGTGGGCTGGGAAGGTGGCTCAGTGGTAGAGGGCTTGTCTTGCAAGCATGAGGCCCTGGGTTCGATTCCTCAGCACCACATAAGCAAAAAGGAAAAAGCCAGAGGTGGCGCTGTGGCTCAAGTGGTAGAGTGCTAGCCTTGAGCTGAAAGCTGAGGGACAGCGCCCAGGCCCAGAGACCCAAAAAAAAAAAAAAAAAAAAAAGAATCATTAGCCAGTTGGGTGTCCGGCTTTGAGGGGGGCAAGATCGCGCTTCACGATCATTCCGTGCAAGGGCCGCGAGAAGATCACCACCGCCACTCAGGTCAGGTCACCCCGGGTTTTTACCGCACTTTCAGAACCCGCACACCCACCGCCCCGACGCCCCCTCCCCACGCCTCTCCGGGGTCGGCGGCGGCCACGCCTCCCCGGCGCCCAACGCCGCGATTGTGACACCGCCCGGCTCCCGTCCGCCTCCCCGGCGGGCCAGTGGTCCGGCGAAGGCAGGACCCGAGCGCCGGGACTTCGGGGCGCGGCGCCCAGGCTCCCAGCGCTGGAAGGGCAGCGCGCGTGCGCGGCGCCGGCAGACAGCGTGGACGCGGACCGTTGCGCCTCCGGGCCTCCGCGCCGCCCGGGCCGCGGGAGGCGCAGGGGCGGGCGGCGGAGGCGGGGCCCGGCGCGGAGCCCGGCGGCGGCCTCCTACCTCGGTAGCTGTGGATGCGGCGGCCGGTGCCCGGCGGCAGCGTCGGGTAGGGCTGCGGCTCGCCGTCGAAGTTGAGCCACACGGGCAGCACGACGCGCGGGCTGCGGTTGCAGAAGATGACCTGCGACGGCTCGCGGGAGTTGACGGAGCGCAGCACGGGCCGAGGCCGCCCGGCCTCCATCTCTGCGGCGCGCGGCTCCTCTGGGGCCGACTCTTCCGAGCCGGAATCCTCGGCGTCCGACTCTTGCTGGCCCACCTCCTCCGGGCCGTCCTCCTCGGCGCCCGCCTCCTCGCCACCCGCCTTCCGGGGCATCACCTCAGGACCCGCACCACCACCGGGCTGCTCGCTCGGGATTCGCGGGCCGGACGCGAGGCGGGGCCTGGCTGCGTGCGGGTGCGCACCCTAGACCGGGGTAGCGCTCAAATGGGCGGTTGGAGGCTGCACGCATGCGCAAGTGCATCCCGGACGGGCTCTGGGGCGGGGCCTGAAGCGAGGGCGGAGCCAGGTCTCGGCGGAGGCGGGGCCAGAGCTCGCTCTGCAAGATCCGCAGTAAATTCCTCCCCTCCCTAAGGTTACTGGTGTGCAAGTGTCTGCTAAGGGCTCGGCATTACCTTTCCACACACATCTCCGATGCGACGCGACTTGGTCTTACACACGACCTCCATTCTCCGCCCCCCCTTCCCTCGCAGTCCCCTTTTTTATACTCATGACCGTAGGTTTTAGATTTTGTTTGCCCTAAATTCCACAAGAGACTTTGTCTCTGGGCCTGGCTAGTTTCACCTGACACGCTCCCTTGTCCATTCTCCAGCAAACTCCTCTTTGGACTGTATCTCTTTTTCTCTATTCCTGGGCCTTGAACTCAGGGACCGGGCACTGTCCCTAAGGTTCTTTTGCTCTGAGCCACAGCACCATTTCCAGCTTCTTCTGTGTATGTGGTACTGAGGACTTGAACCCAGAGTTTCATGCATGCTAGGCAAGCACTCTACCCCCTAAGCCACATTCCCAGCCCATCTCTTCACTGTTTTGCTCATCTGACCTACCCTCTGCACTTTTTTTTTGTGGGTTGTGGGGCTTGAACTCTGGGCCTGGGCCCTGTCCCTGTGCTCTTCCGCTTGAGCCACAGCGCCACTTCTGGTCTTTTAATTGGAGATAAGAGTCTCACGGACTTTTCTTCCCCGGGCTGGCTTTGAACCTTGATCCTCAGATCTCAAGCCTCCTCAGTAGCTAGGATGACAGGCGTGAGCCACAGGGCTCACCCGGCTTGCACTATTCTTTAAACGTTTTCTCACTAATCTTTTGTCTCTGTTTTGGGTCTCTAGAATGAATGCCCAGCAGAACGGAAAATGTAAAAATCTCCCCCTCGCTTTTGTTCTCCCACTCTCCCAAAGTCACTGGAGACAAAATGTACTACCAGCTTTTTGTACATCCTTTTAAAGACACGCACATAAAAGCAATTAAATTTTTTATCACTACCATCAAAAGACTTTCTTGCTCAGGCTGGCTTCAAACCAGGATCCTCAGACCTCATGCCTCCTCTAAAAATTTAGAGTTCAAGAACAAACTACAATGTGTAATTTTAGCTAGGTAAAACAAGGTTAAGGACTAGTGCAAGGTCTGAGTTACAAGAGTAAAACCATACAACCAGGAGTGTCTGAACTGTAGTTTAAGCTTAGTTTGTGGTGGGAGGACTAGACCTGAGCCTCAAGTACGTGAAGCTCTCAACTCCTGAGCTATTCTCCCAGCCCAAGCCCAGTAGGTTTTTGGGGGGTGATACCAGGGTTTGAAGTCAAAGCTCCACACTTGCTTGGAAGATGCTCTACCACTTGAGTTACACTTCTCAAGCTTAGTGTTCAAACACAGCTCACTAGTTCAAATGCTTTTATTTTTCAGTAAGTGGATTAACAAGGGATAGAAAAGGAAATGTGTGGGGCTGGGAAGGTGGCTCAGTGGTAGTGTTTGCCTTGCATGCATGAGGCACTGGGTTCGATTCCTCAGCACCACATACACAGAAAAAGCTGGAAGTGGGTGCTATGGCTCAAGTGGTAGAGCGCTAGCCTTGAGCTGAAGAGCTCAGGACAGCGCCCAGGCCCAGAGTTCAGCCCCCACAACTGACCAAAAAAAGAAAAAAGAAAACAGGAGTCTGACAGAATATCTTTCTTACCGAGGAAAGGCTGAAGTGAACAATGTGGGCTGAACCCAGGGAAGAGGACCCAACACAATTTTCTAGTACTGGGGCTTGAACCCAGGGCCTCAAGGTCCCATTTGGCTTTTTGCCTTGAGGGTGGCCCTTTACCACTTAAGCCACACCTCCACTTTCTTGCCCAAGCTATCTTTGAACAATGATCCTGATCTCAAGCCTCCTAGGTAGCTAGGTTCACAAGAAGAGCCATTTGGGCCGGGCTCAAGAATCTTTAAACTACAGTATTTTCAAGGAAATACATCTATCTTTGGTGAAGTGGGGCTTCCACTCATGTCATGGGCATTGTCCCTTAGCTTTTTTTTTGGGGGGGGGGTCTGGTCATGGGGCCAGAACTCTGGGCCTGGGCGCTGTCCCTCAGCTCTTCAGCTCAAGGCTAGCACTCTACCACTTGAGCCACAGCGCCACTTCTGGCTTTTTTCTTTTTTCTTATATGGTGCTGAGGATCAAACACAGGGCCTCAGGCATGCAAGGCAAGCACTCTACCACTGAGCCACCTTCCCAGCCCTGTCCCTTAGCTTTATCACTCAAGGATGGCAGTTTACCACTTGAGCCCAGCTCCACTTCCAACTGGTGGCAAGAGTCTCTAAAGCTTTCTTGCTTAGGCTAGTTTCGAACTGGGATCCTGAGACCTCCTGCCTAATGAGTAGCTAGGTTTACAGGTGTAAGCACTGGTACATCTTTCATAAACTAGTCTGCTCTGGACTGTAGTTAAATTGTGTGGATACTGCTATTTCAACAGGCTGTAAGCATCATGTCTGACTGAATGCTACATCAGTTATTAGAGTATAACGCGCCTACACAGTAAGCACTGGATAAATGTCTGCTGAATGACCAGATGATTCCCAGGATGCGTCAGGCAGCTAGAGTCCAGACACAGGGACGAGGGGAAAGGGAGGTAAGCTCCCTAGGCTTTGAATCTGAAGACTCTGTTCAGCAGTCAGCCTACACATCCCGCTTCTGTACAGCACAATCACAGCAGTCAGATAAAGTTAAGGAGTTTATTAGGGAAATATGAGAGGTACAGACACCCCAACTGACAGAAAACTCTGCAAATGTCCCTTTCAAGCCACACGAGGGCCTGGCAGTGACCTTAAACAAGAAACTAGTGGGTTGGCAACATCGTTCGCTGGCAGCCACAATGCCAGGACTGCCCCCAACCCCCACGGCCCACCGCGGGTGGGGAGGAGAAGACGAGGACTGTTGGTGGAGTCAGTGCAGAGGCAATGAGAGCAGTAAGGAAAATCTGGAAGTGAGAAGTGCGAGGAGCTGCAGAGAGTCCCAGGCTTCCGGCGCAACCCCTCAACCACATTTAACAAAAGCTTCATGAAACGTTACTCAAAAGGTACAAACCCCTAATGCTGTTTCCCAGTCCCCCACGCCACATCACACTCCCCGATGTACACGGCAGCGCCAAAGGCCACACTTTTGAAAAAAGAAAAAACAAGAAAGGCCTGTTGCTCATTACGGAGAGGAGGAGGGGGAGGGGCAGAAGCTGCCGGGCCCCCACGCCGCCTGTGTTCCCAACAGCAACTTCTCAGCAGCTCGGCACCGTTCTAAGTGAGAGTCTCACCTTTCGTCACCTGTCAAAGGAAAGCTGACATTGAGATCTACTCAGAGATAAAGGCATCTATATAAAAACCAAAAAACCTTTATTTTAGAACTCAAGAAATAGAAAACAAGACAGAAGAGTCATAGACTTAAATCTATACATCGCCAAGCCTGCTTCTGCCCCGGGTTCATTCCACAGGCCTGGCGGCTTGCCTTCTCCCTCAGCCCTTGCCCACTGTACTCACCCGGGCTTCAATGTACTCTATTCTCCGCTCAAGGGCTGTCAATTTCTCATTTAGTGTTGCAAGTCTTGAACGGCAAGACATATCTGGTAAAAGAAGACTCATGTTCAGGATTATCTTCACTCCAGACACACACGTACAAAGCATTGTTCCCCTGAAGAGGAAAGATTCACAATGCAGAGCACACGTGTGGACACAGCGAGGCGCTTAGGAGTATAACTGACTATTCCACCAGCGATGGCAGGCAAGAACAGTGACCCCCCGAAAAGACGTCCACACCCTAACACCTGGAACTTGTGAATATATATCATACCTGGGAGACTGCAGCCATCATCAATACTAAGGAACTGAGATCTTAGGATTTATCTTGGACCTCTTGGCAGGTTTAATCTAAATCCAAAGTCCATAAATACAGACAGCAAAAGCTCAAGAAGGCTTCAGAGAAGAAGGGATCAAAGGTTTGAAGCATCTCCAGGTGCTGGTGACTCACACCTATAATCCCAGCAACTCAAGAGGCTGAGATCTGAGGATTGCAGTTCAAGGCCAGCCCAGGTAGAAAAGTCTGTGAGACTCTTTTTGTTGTTGTTGTTGTTTTTGGGTCCGGTTGTGGGGCCTGAACTCTGGGCCTGGGTGCTGTCCCTCAGCTCTTCAGCTCAAGGCTTGAGCTCTACCACTTGAGCCACAGTGCCACTTCCGGCTTTTTTTCTTTTTTTTTTTGCTTATGTGGTGCTGGGGAATCGAACCCAGGGCCTCATGCATGCAAGGCAAGGGCTGTACCACTGAGCCACCTTCCCAGCCCAGTCTGTGAGACTCTTTATCTCCAAATAAACACCAGAAAACTGGAAGTGGCACTATGGCTCAAAGCAGTAGAGCACTAACCTTGAGTAGAAAAAGCTCAGGCCTATGCCCTGAGTTCATGGCTAACAACAACAAAAAAGGTTTGAAACATCACAGGGACTCAACTTGCTACCGCTGCATTGAAAGTGGGAAGGCACAGTAAGCCAAGGAATGTAAGGGACCTTTAGAAGCCAGAGGCAGACATTGCAGTGATGCAGCCGCGAGCCCAGAACACCTGTGGCCTTTAGAAGTAGAAGAGGCCGGAAAGGTTCCCCTGTGAAGGCATACAGCGACCAGGGGCCAGGCGTTTTTTCTTTTTAGTGCCGATTTGGAGGGGTTGAATGTGAGAACTCACTCTTGCTTTGCCTTTTTATTCAGGGCTGCCATCCTATCGCTTGAGCCACACCAGCATGTGTAGTATAGTCTGAGAAACTCAATCTCTAATCAGCAAGATGCCAGACTGGAAGTATGGAAGCCTCAAGTGGTATAGCACCAACCTGTGAGCAAGCAAGCAGTTCGAGTTCGAGCCCTGTTCTGACAAAAAAATAGTTGGCTGTACTAAAGAATTTGAAA